GACACCCGGGGAAGAAAAATTTTCACCTAAAAAGAACACAAGCTTGTCAGCAGAAGTCGTGACTCAATGGGATTGCTTCGATTCGCGAAGACTGAGGGATATCAGTTCGAAAGGGACAACGTCTAGCTGCTTACTCTCGCAAGAATAAAGCGGAATTGAGAGTTTCTCGAGGCGTGGAACTCCATACAGGAACATGAGCATCGATCCACCGCGTCATTTCCTACGAACGAAAGCATTTACAACTGTCGGACTCCATACAACGTGTGAAATCAAACAATGCAACACCAACCAATAGACCAGTCGGATCATTGAAAAAAATTACCCAACTAGCCGATAGAGTACAGGTATACCATACCATGAAGCAAAAAGCAGTGACAACGGAGAAACGGAGAAGTCACTCAACGAACCAAGGAGATGCAAGTATGCGGGACCAAAACGCAAAACAGATTCAAAGTCGACTAATCAAGTCACGCGGAAGCCTCCTGGCAAACAACTAATCACGTTGGAGCCACAACACACTGATTAGGAATTCAATAAACACAAGAAGAGGAATGCATTCACTCGACCCCGCGTTGACGATGTCACCTCTAGTATTGGCGCAACGCTAGCAAGGTTACCATCAAGACAGACCATCAAACGAGCAGTGTTACCGAGTTATCTATATCCAGCAATGCCGACAGAAGCTAAAGGGGTTTGTCGTTAATATCTTCTTTCGATTTGTCTCCTATACCTTGGAAAAAGGCGCATTTTCTCACTAGTTTCACCAGGCATTGCTCTGAACGTCGCCCAAAGGGCATGTCAACCCAGACATAAGCTTAGCAAGTCTAACTCGATTTTCCAACTATGAACCATGCACATGAAAGGTGGCAGTTCATCGAACAAAATAATCATAGTACTGTTGTCGTACACTTGGGTTCATATGGAAGCATCCATTATTCTATTTCAAAACTATTTTATAAACTTACTTTGGACAGGGGAACAGTGTACTCTGACATTGGTTCGGCGACATTAACGAAGATCTAAATTACCGGTTATGAAGTGAGTGAAGGACGTTGTCTAATTCATCTGGACTAGATCAGTCAAAACAGTGATACGGCATTTACATAAAATACGTCCCGACCTGGATAACAAGGCAGCTCACTTCGCGGAAACACCTGATGAAGGAGAATCTGAAGGTGGTCATTTCGCTCCATTCTCGGTCAACAATCTCCCACTTTTAATGCCCCATCACCGATGTGTCCAGTTTATGTAAACGTCACACACCATCAACAACACTGTCAGTTACGCATTCCGTGAAATTCAATTTTCTGAGAGCAGCTCCCTGTTTCAACCCTGCATCTGAATGATTTTTCACAGAACAGGTCAAGACATCGAGTTGTCTACCTGTAATGTTCTGGTACTTTGTTTCAAGATTGAACTACTGTCTGACATGGCAGTCTTACGAAAACTAGTGAGACTCGAATGTAAGTCCATTTAGCAGTTCACTAGTTGGCTGTTGACTAAGTGGCAGTTGATTTGTTGACCAAACTTGGCAGTCAGCTAGCAAACACATTAATTTATACCTGGTTGGCAGCCAGTTGACGTGCCAGATCTACCAATATTTCGATACGTTGCTGGAAGTCTACACATCCGTCGAAATCTTTCATGTGACATAGGCTATTTCAGTTTACGACGATTTTCTTCGACGTTTTAAAATCCACCTACAATTCTTGTGAACTGATGGTTTCTTACTGACCAGCTAGAACCATCATGCGCGCCAATGTGAGGATGAATGCCTGACGGTTGTTTGTAGGAATATCGGCAGACAACGACTTGTGGCATGATCGCTCACGTCCATCGTGATACGGTATTTCAAAATTAGTCGTTGAAATGAACAATCCTTATCTTGAAACGCAGAGGTTGATGGGAAGGTTTGGACGCTAAAGATTACTAACAAATTTCTGATGCGTGTATCAAATCAGGAAAACGCCACGTGAATTCACTATGTAGGTCGTGCACACAAGCATGGTAAGTGAACATCAAGCGATCGGACAGTTTAGGGGGTCGTTGGGCAAACCAATCACACTATTTGCCTGTTCAGACACGATAATTCTGGTGCGCCCAGCATGTACTGATAGGGTAGTGGCGACACGCTCATCTCGCATGGTAGATGTCTAGAGTTCAAACCCGGGTACGGCCATAAATGAGCCCCAATAACGTTGAAACCCCATTCCAGTGTAAACTCACCAGAGAAGCTTCGACAGGACGGCAAGAGGACTATTCAAACAATGTGGTTCTATAAATCCCGCGACTGTCTACAAATTGCTGCTGACTGTTTCGCCAAGCCTAAACCCATAGGCAACTAATCTAACAACCAATGTTTAGACCGAAGTTCGAATCCAACAGCCACATCTTGAGTAACTAGACTGAGCTGCATCGGATACGTGTATCACTCTATAAAAGTACAGCCATTTTCGTAAACTGCTGACGCAACTATACTGGCGATTTTTAACTCAATTTATTATCCAACATTGCTCTGAGTCCCATACGGATATTTAAAAGCTGTGGATGGCGAATCCGAACAGTCTAACTATTCAAGTAACTAAGCCAAGGATATTGTTTTCAAACAATGCCACTCACGATTTATGACTACTTAATCATAATAATCGTTCCCCTGTAACCCCCTTTGGGTACCTAGCTGCCATGCCCCCCGAAGGAAGCTCGAGGACTGAAATACTGCCAGGTTGCGCAAGACTAGACAGGACAAGTCGAGATGTCGGGTACGACCTTCCGGTCAATAAATTCACGCTGTAACCACTGAGTCATCTCACATCCTTATGGCTAATTAGCGGTACAATAATCCCCTGAAGCATGGGTCCGCCCGGGTATGTAGCCCCCTGAGGAAGTGAAAATATCCTCTTTGGTGTATATTTTACACTAAAGCGTAGCTGCATAACTGCCCTTAAGTTACCACAGCTGGTGAGAAACGGTGGTGTAGTTACTCAAGTGCAGTGTCTTTTCTTCAGAGAGGTTCTTTCGGGAGGGATTAGTGCATTGATAAACCATTTAAATCCATAATCCACTTTTTCCAAGCTAGACTTTTTCATTTGAAAAGTACTGCAATTTGCATATGAAAAATCGGTAGCTTTGTTTACGAACTAGGGCGCCGCAGCTGTTGAATTCTTACATGGTTCAGCAACTGAGAAACGTGTGCGCAACACGTGCCTTGAAAATCGATAGGTTCCTGCAGGCCTCCCCATCGCATAAGACCAACGAACCAGATTCCAGTGGAAAAAATCAATACAGCCGAAGCGTGCGGGAAACCGTGTGTCCAAGATGCTTGTTGTGTTACAAGCACAGTCATAAGGGAAGAGAATGTTAGATATACGGATTCCTACTGTCATGTGTTTTCCCCAAGATAGTGGGCCGATTTTATGGACGGCATGCTGGCGACGGTACGTTATCGATCCAAAGGGAGGGACTAGTTCGACTGGTACGGGTACTTTCATTCTAAGTGACACGAGAGACAGGACGACAGGCACACACACAAAACGACAGGCAGAACGCACTTGTAGAGTGCATGGAAAGTGCTACACCGTGAATGGTTCGTAGCTACCTGTTTTGAATTTGTTCGAGTGCAACTAGTCCAAAACGGAATATGGATTTCCTTCAATTCGCATGTAATTTGATCTGCTTGGAGGCGGTTGATGTGAGTGGGCAATGGGCCAGCTTTTTGAAAAAATGCACTGCACATACTCCTTAACGGCTCACTCGGCAAATGATCACCTTACGGTCATTAATGTGACCGTACGGCAGGGATACTGAACTTCAGCCATTCTTAGACGAAAATCGCCTATCTAATATACTATTCCGTTTTAGTACAGGTAAATGAAACAAAAAATCCGCCAAAAGAATGAGTTCTTAATTTTACAGCGTTCCCGTCACTATAATGAGGCGTATCTAATTGGACCAATATTTCCAACGTTCTTGTAAATAAGAGGTGCTCAACACCATGTAGCACCCAGAGCTCTCTCTGTAAATAGTAAGGAAAGGATACCGGTATAGCATTCTCTCGGGACTAAAGAACAATAATTACCGCCCTGTAAAATGCAAATGGCTTCGAAGATAAATAGTCACAATTGGACCAAGATGTAGTCAGTATATTAGTAGAGCCAGAAATCGGCTATCTTAACTGTTTTCTGTTGACAGACCACCTCTAGTGAACAGTGAATATGACCCTAGGTATGTATGCATCCATCGTTCACCTGTAGCACCCTTTCCATGCCTAACTGCCATACAACCGGAAGGAAGCACGAGGGCTGGGATACTGCCAGATTGCCCAAGCCTAGACACGGGAAGTCCCGAGGCAGAGGTCGCACTCAAACCAAGGACATTCCGGTCAGTAAATTCGCACTCTAACCACTGAGCCATCTCGCTCCCCCCCAGGTAGCTCAGTGGACAAAAGTAAAGTTGCGCTTGAACGGTCTCCGCTCGACTGCTTGCACGGATGCGATGTAATCAGCAAGTAGTCCCCGTTTTGAAAACCTTGTGATTGTGACGACGCATAGTTTCTTGACATGACACACTATTTATAAGGTTGTCGGAAACTTCCCGATGGTTTCGCCCCTTTTTAGACTCATCAGATATAGTCCCTGAAGTCCCATCAACCGTGTGTTCTACTAGAACACCAAACTGTGGGTGGTTCGCGACCTTTGAGCGGCCAATTCAATCGAAGAATAACATAAACGAGCGGTCCAGATGGAATTTTGCTGGGGATCCCATCAAAGACAGCTGAATCTGCAAATGTTTCGGCAATCAAGCAAGAGCTAAACTAAAAAGCTACCTACCTGATGAGCCCTACAAAATATGGAACTGGCTTTTGAAATGGGCAGGGGTCTGATTCAGAATAAAAATGAATCAGTAAGCCAATTCTCTGCAGTTTCTCAAAATGGACTGTTGCATTACCTGTACAGGATGAAGTTCACAACGGGAGCTCCATTATCAGAAAACGACACTTCTCACGAGAACAGAAATTTCGTTTATACCAAATGCACACAGGTTAGGTGCTGAAGAGAAGGGCTAAGTACGCCTAGTGCATAGTAGTTGCGTTGCATCAGAAATCGCTTGTACGGTATACGCAAACACCACAGTTTGTACTGACAGAAGTAGCGGTCACGTTGCATCACCAACTATACGTTCTATCGAGAATCCGCAGACACCGACAGTGCACACATATCCTTGAGGAAAAATTTTCATTCGGAACATAGCATCTTTCAATTCCGTAAGCTTTCAACAGAAGGTTACAAAAAAGTAAAGAAATGACATGCTTTTCATTGCACTAAAGCCGTTTATTACAAGCATATAGTCAAGTAGATTTCTTACATAAATACTGAAAAATAGGCAATAGAATTCGAGTTCGTTCAAAGTCACTTGGCTTGATATTTTCTGAGCAGCAGCGTAAATTTCATGGGGAAATGCAGTTCAGTTAAAAACTGCAATGAAAGGCACATATAGAGAGTCCGCAATAAGTAAGTAGTCATGATCACCGAGATGTATTGAAAATGGAGAAATAGGCAAGCGAAGCGGGTGTAAATGAACAGCGTTGAATGAATATTTGAACAGCAGGTGGAAATTTGGTTCCCTTGGTGCTGTTGTTACTGTTCAGCCTCCATCCCCAGTATTCCGTCGCCCGTTCCAATATCAACAAACGCTTCTTCCTCTTTGTAGCCTGCATTCCGACGACGTGCCAAAAGAGCTGCTGCAAATGAGGGGTTTGAAACGAACGGATTAACGGGATAGCGGGTACGGGGAGGAAGGTTGTCCTTGGGTGATATGAGAGTATCACTCTGATTCACCAATAAGTCGTCAGCTGTATCTTTGGTGACGGTACTGGCCTGACGAAAGAGATCGAACCTCTTGCTCACAGCCGATTTGGTATGCCAAGAACACTGGTTTCTGAGGCGCCTTTGTGCTATGATGAGATCAGTCTTCTCCAGCACGGTGGCGTCCCGGAAAAAATCGTTTAAACCAGAATCTGAAACCGCGGCTTCTTGACTTGTGACAGGGTTGGGATCCATTGTGTCTTCTGCCATAAAAGGTCGCACTTCACAACTACCTGGTTCCGTGAACTAAAACAGAGAGTTGAACAGATGCACCAGCTGATGACAGTAGTTAATGAGATGCGCCAGATGAAAGCTTAACCCAAAAGACAGAGTACATACTGACAACCGGCTGGGGAAGTTGACACTCTTTTCACGAGAGACCGCTTCTCTCGACAGCACAACAAGACTACCCATCAGCGAGTACCCAGTTGTTCAGAAAACACCACATATCAATTTCTCCTCGATGGCGATTACGGTGTACAGTGAATAATAGCTAACGTGAGGACTGAATATGGTGGGCAGATACAAGACTACGAATTCCAGGATGTCAACGAGGAAACTGATGATGTACCATCAGACCTTTTCGGACAGACCAGTGGAACGAACAATGCCTACACTAAGAGAAGTATTGTCCGACAGTGTTCGTTTATTTCCAGGCAAGTGAGATAAAGCGAAACCACAAGGGTCTAATCAAGCCTTGCTACTGGCTAAAAAAAACTCCGTAGTCAAGAGACTAGACACCACAGTATGATTGCATGTATCGGAGCACATGCCATCATTAAGTTGTATTTTGATGGGATGGCAGTCTATCGACAACGAGCAGGTTTGTGTCATCTCGGTTGTCTACAAACTCATGAAATATGGATCATGGTTCATATGGAGCAAGCATGAGTGTACACACCTTCAATAACAAACCAACAAAGGTTATCTGAATGGTATGTACACAATAAACGAAACAAACCTGCTATTCACTCTCTAATACCCACAGGAGTAGGCACACCTATTTTTCTCTCCACCAACTCCTTCCGTAGACCTTTGCTTTGTTGCCCCCTTAAGGCGTCTCACCCAATGATCCATCATGAACTCATGATATGGTAAGAGGGCCCATAACCACAGCCAAATACATAAAGCAGGCTATGTGTCAGGAGATCATCTCACTGATAACTCACATTAGTATAAACTCAATGTGACATTTACGCGTGTACAAGACATACCAGTCGGGAAATTTCAAACCCATATACCGGCAAGCAATCGAGAGGATAAGTTGAGGGAAATGAACCAAGATAACCAAGTACTGTACATTATTGACCATGACTAAGAGGTCGAATAACGAACAGAATTGGGAAGCTAGTGTACTATGTAGTTCATAGATCTGGCAAACCTGTCTGGATGAGACGATGAACTATTGGATAATGTGTCCACCGGACAGACACTGGCAACGACGTCGAGGATTAATTCAGGACTGCGCGCTAACTACTACGCAATTTCAAGTAGTATAGAATAATTATGAATGACATGCCACGCTCACGACATCACTCGATGCGAGCGTCCATAACGCGCTGTACTTCTGTTCAACACATGCATTTAAATGCGGCAGTTGAAATAGGGAATCGCAATAGAACTAAACCTCTGAATTTACTTAATCAGAGCGTCTTGACTTGATTGACTTCCTGCGAAAGCTACATGCTCAATAACTGCGCCCTATCAGTCGACTCAGCAGCCACGACTTCATAATCAGCGCCACAATATAACAAAAGAAATAATTCCGTACTGATAAACACACTAGATCAGAAGATCATATTACTAACCGTTCTGGCCCACTGTCCTGGTTTACATTATCTGAGAAGATACGGAAAAAAGTTCATTCGCCGAGCAAAATACGTGCCTTTTTCCGGAATGAAGTTGATCAACATGTGGGTCACCATCAATCTCCTGCCACAGCGAGATATGCCAGTGGACCACCAAGCAGGGTAGACGATACAAGGACCAACTAATACCCGGTTATTAGTACGACTGTCTGGACAATTTTCACAGAAAAACAACCGAGCTTGATAAAAAACAGTGCCACCAAGCGACAGGTTGCTTGCAAACCAAACTGAAAACACCCAAAAAGTCGACATCAAAGGGTGCTTCCTTGTGGTTTGAAAGTGGCCTCAATCACTGATGGATTGTACGAAGAATGCACCTCTGCGACTTAACAGAGTGATCCAAGACTTCGTTGGGTCTATTTCATCCAAACGAAGATAAACATGAGCAACTCTCATGATCAAGCGTTTGGTCCTATCAAGTCGACCTGCCGACGTTCCGCCACCAGCGCACCATATGCTTGTTGATAGTTTGTCAGTCCAGGATGACGAAAAATCACAAGGAGACAGACTGAAAAGTTTTCAAGAACTGGTCCTCATACAATGAAAAAGCTTGAGTGGGTAAAGACAAGGTGAAATATAAAAACTCACAGTGTATCGTAAAAAATGCGAACGTACCTGTGCGCTAGTTACAAGTTGCTTTGCCGTTGTTTCAGAAATCGGCGATGAATTCGTGTGGAGTCGCTTCTCTAAAGCACGCTGCTCTCTTTCTTGCATTTTCAACCGTCGGCATGCAATTACCACTTGCAGTTCTTTCAAAACCGACGCAAAAAGTGGAGTTCCCATACTCTGAAAAGTATAATAAGATCACATTTATGGAAGGTGGCAAAGCAAGGAAGTATGCAAGGAAGTTCCAAAAACCTAGAACACCTAATCATATTACCTATCTTCGATGGGCGACTGAAGGGTTACCAATCAGAAACAGGGTAAATACAAATCACAGATAATTCATATTACCTATCTTCGATGGGCGACTGAAGGGTTACCAATCAGAAACAGGGTAAATACAAATCACAGATAATGAAAGATAATCGTTCAGCTGTAACACCCTTTTCGTGCCTAGCTGCCATGCCACCTGAAGGAAGCAAGACGGCTGAAATAGTGCCATGAGTGAAATACTCAACATGATTACTTAAGATGCCTAGGTTGGGTTCGAACCACAAAACGTTCGGTTGGTAAGCTTTGACCTTAACCACTGAGCTATCTAGAGCTCTAATCAACAGATACTCCTCAAAGGTACACCAAAAGTGTTTTGTCAATCGTTAATCGGAGCCAAATACAACCTTATTCGATGATGAATCTTGGAGGATTCACTATGTCGGGTGAGACAAATAGAACAAGAAACGGTAAGGTAGCCCACCGAGGCTAATCTCAGAGTGATATAACATGCTCACTATGGCCATTTAAATGGCAGCTAAGTCGCTGCACCACACAGCAAGTGCACAGTGATAAGTCCTTTCATTTGGGAAACCCAGTATGGCTCAATTCATTGCAAAACTGGATAGAGGGTGGGAGTCTCACACGACTGTGCTTCGTACTGATTACAAGACCGTGACAGAGATAACTGGCCGAAAGCCAAAACGTCAGATGATTTATATGTTGCGGCGATGTTTAGTCCACACAGAGCCCTTTCCGTTGCGGCCCTTTCCCTCACCTATAGAAGACGAACTGGCTAAGAGAACATGATGACTTCACACCTACAGCCACTGACACGCTTTCAAAAGCTGTTCAAACTGAGTTGGTCGCCCGGCCGAGAAAAGTTTCTCATGGGGGAAAAGCCATCCCTCCCCGCCCAGGATAGAAGACAAATGATGATGATGATGATTTGATGAAATGATGATTTGAGGAGGTGGGGTACGTAGTTGCCCATTGGAGGCGGGAGCCGATAAATCGGTGTGAATACAGGATTGTTAAGTAGAGAGATTGGGAAAGTAGCTATGCACTGAAGGTGCTTGCTTGGATGTATGACCGCCATTGACCGGGCGTGACTGGGCCATGTGTGACAATGTCTCTAACCACTGATGTGTCCTGTTTGGGGATCCCCATCCAGGAAGACGGCAGTGACAAGCACAGCTGAGTTTGTTGGAAATGGCTTTTGTACATAACTGCCAATTCACTGTTTGACTCCTCCCCCTGGCTCGTTTCCACCTTTCATGTGGTTGTGGGAAAAAAAACCCTACGAGGAAGTCGGTTGGCATATACTGTGAAAACAGGACGGTTTTGTTAGTGGATCTTGCAAAGAAGCGTTTATTCACTTAAAGCTATCAGGGTTGTGTACCTCAACGACGCAACTGGAGAATCATGAATGCATGCGGAGTTGGCACGTCGTTCAAAAGGAAAACATCAGGCTCCAATGGAGCGAAGGAGCAACTGTCCAGAGAAAGACAACTCACGTAAGGAACTGCATCTACCTGGAGTTATCGGTGGTTTCTTAAAGAGTGTCAAAATACCCACTACTAGAAGAGCTTTGTGACAAGCTTCGAAATTCACGGTCGGTTGAAAAAGTCCCCCGGGCATATTCGGTATAAAAAGTTAAATGAAACCGCTACATATGCAAAACTTTGTGTCGTGCACAACTGGAATGACCAAGTAGCAAAGTGATTTTCTGAACTTAGGTCTATGGGTATTTCTATTTTTACCAGAGTGGAGCCTTGTGCGATTGAAAGGTAGCTAGGAAATCACTGCTCAAACTTGGTCACAGAACAACCACGAGTCCCGTAATGTTTCAGACTGAACAATAGTCAGACAGGGACTCATTGTACAGCAGCTCGTAGATGTGTAACTGGAAGGGCAAGTTTAGGTCAAATAAAATAATTCAGATATGAGAGCTGTTCATCAATGGGTTCATTAAGGCTTGCAAATACAGGACGAAGATGTAGATGTTCAAGCGAAAAAGGCAGTGTCCCTCGTCGGTGAACTTAGATGAGAATGTCGATGCCACCATAATTTTCACAAACATACTGACAAAAGCGAGCTCCGATATTAAGCTGAACCGTTCTTATGCCAACTTCCGCTACCTCCTCTGTTGATGACGTTCGTGGAAACATTGTGCTGAAAAGCTTAGTCTTGTGACTGCTAAAAGCGAAAACACAATTGAAAATGAGTGAAAATTCATATCATGCATTACATAGAGGACGTCTCACTAACCAAGCCTGTATCCATGTCAGGATCCGGTTTTTGGTTGTCTTCGTCTTCTGATTCGTCCAAACCAATAGCCACATCTTCCAAGACCTAAAAGTCAAAACCAAGCGGACATATACAAAACACACCTTTAGTAATCGCTCAACAGTAGTCGAAATCAATGGAGACTGTCTAAATGAAAGACTAGCACAAATCTATAACAAGCCAGAGATGTGGCAAAATACTGGTGGTTCATACGGATTCATTAGTTGTTGACCCGTTCGCCAAGCTTAGCAACTGATCTGCAACCGTTTAGTCACTCTGGCGTGGGTAATCCAGCCGAAAATTTTAAGGAGCTTCCAGTTTTTTGTACTAATCGGCAATAGTTACTGTCCTTCAGTGGCCAAATATGCCCACCAAAACGAACGCGTCGTGAATTCGGTAAGCCTATTGATGAATTAACAATGAGATAACCAACTGGAAAATGTTTGGGACCGATTGGGAAGTCATCGTTTCAGAGGGGTTTGGTAAAAAATCGGTGGATTTATTGCTGGGCAACGTTTCGCTTTTGACACAAAAGCTTCGTCAGGCCAAGTGAGTAAGTAAGTAGGTTGATTGGGTTTTAAGGCAGTCGGGGAACCAATCCGTGAGATTCCCTATGGTTAGTGACGTGGTCAGTGCTGGGTGTTCAGTCTGATGTCCCTGTTTGTTGATTAGTGCGATGACTAAGCTTTACGATAGATCGGTTAGGG